TAAAAGAAGCCAGTACTCTTCCACATTTCATTTCCTCAAAAGTTCTATGCTTACCTTTAATGGCCTGGAAGTGAAGAGCTTTCCATTCCTAATTAGCAAATAAGTAGCAGCTTGGTCTTTGGGCCTACTTCTTAGATCACTGGTTTTCTAGTGGGGTTTAAGACCTGGAACTGGTCTGTGCCTGATCTAAGATATCACCAGTGGCACACAAATGGCAGCACAGCTGTTTGAAAAATGTAGTGAAAATATACAGGTACTGGGGGGGGGGATTAAAAATGCATACTATGTTACAGGTGATTCCTATTCTAAGATCCTCACAGGAAGCCCAGAGATCTACAGGAAAGTAAAATTGGGAGAATAGGGCCCCTCTCACTTGACCCATCCATGCATCTGTAGTTATCCCTGAGACTTCAAGAACAATAATAGCAATGAGCCCAAGCAGAGGCCCAGACCAGAAGACATGGTACTTGCCTAACTAACTGTTCAAAGCATGCCTGTCATATCCTTCTTGGGGAGGAAGGGATGATATACAAACAGTGTGATTCTATACTGACTTCAATGGGCTTAGACTGGTGTATTTTTGAATATGACTGTGCTGTAAGTCTTGTCAGGGTCCCACTAATGCACCCATGAAGACTGTAACCATCTTTGGTGGGTGCGTGGAAGCTGCAGCATGTTTATGCCAGTTCCTGCTCTTTGCAGCTGACAATTCCTTTGCTAGTAATAGTAACTACTTGTTTCTCCAGGCCCTAGATCTAACTTCTGACATGCCAAGTATTGGCCTGGGTTGTATCTGGCCAGACCAGAAACAGGACACCAGGTTAGGGTCTGACAGTTTGGCATCAGCTGTGACCAGGAAGGGGCGGAGAAATGGTTGAGCTGTAGCATTAGGCAACATCAAACAAGCAAATCATCATGAGATTAAATAATTTATTACCATTGCTAAGATGAACACATATACTTGGTACCCCCCATTATATGGTGAATTGTAAAAAAATAGTTTTAATACAGTATCAAAATTTACATACGTTTCATGTCAAAAGACCAGCACCTCTCAAATTAGCCCCCACAGAGCTTGGCCTGGATCCAAAGAACTTTTTAACTAGTTGCAAACAGTGTGTGTGTGTGGGGGGGACTAGGTTCTGGGATTCTGCTTTGTGGACAGAAGCCTGTGCAGCCACATAATAAGCTCTTCGTAAGACCATGGGCTGATACAACACTGGTATCTGCTGTTCAATGAAAAAGAGTTTAGAACCCCATTGGGCACATTTCACATGGTTCTTTGGACCCCGGCCTTTGCCTGCAGATACAAATTCTTTGAGGGTTTCTCTTTTCACATTCTGTTCCTCTCATAGTTATAGGAATACAACAATTTAGATGAGTAATGAAAGCAGTGATCTTGATTAGTGTGGCATAAAAATAATCAAAGAAAGTCAGCAAGTCACTGCAGCAAATCAACCCCACTGTGATTTCCCCCCACCCGGCAAAATGGTTGGCCAATTTTACATCGTGCTATCATAGGATAAAAAGGTTGTACTGCTACAGTGCCGCTACATTCCACGACCCACAGACCAATAACACAACATGTAACAAAGCCCACCAAAAGAAAAGAAAAGAACTGAAACCCCAGGAGAATATCAGCTTGGAAACAAATCTTATTAATCAAGAAACAACCCAAAACCTGGGAATTGTTGCATTCCTATTTTTTTTAATAGTCAGCTATGGTTAAAAAGTCAAAGCAACAGCATTTACTCACAAGCCTGTTGCACATTCATACAAGAAACTGGTGCTGCATTTTGATATATACACAAAATAGCTATCAGAGCATTTCAATACACATGATCTAATGGTATATGCTTGGGGGAGGGGGGTAATGTCAAAGTAAGCTCATCCAAGTCCAAAAACTCAATAACAAGTTTTAAGCCTCGGATGAATGAAGGTCATGCTATCAAGAATATTCAGAGTTTCCTTAGATAGGATGCAACTGTCAAAATGGAAAGCTTTTTCACAAATGCAGTGCTGTCTTGTTAGGCTCTTATAGACTCTTGTGACAGTAAAACCTCATGAGGAAAAGTAAATGGAAGAAATTACACCTTGATATTTGGAAAGGATGTGTGCTGGGGTTTGGGTTGGAGGTGTCAAATATTTAGTGTCTATAGCAGCCCAATCCTAAAGCCCCCCTACAGAAGCAAATATAAATTTAGATAGAGTTGCATTGACCAGTGCATCATCATGGCCCATTCACACTGCACGGATATCGTGCTCTTCAACAGCAAAAAAGTAGGAGTCAATGCTATGAAACCAGGAACAGCTGTCATTGCCCATTTGGGTTGTGCTGATGTATAGAATTTCTACATGACACAAAAATTGGGAGCACAGGGAGCTGGGGTGGTTGGGTAAGTCAAGGCACCATCCCAAACATTTGTTGAAATATCTACAAAGGAACAAATTGAACAGCTAGGACTGGATCACATGTCTGCTATCATAGAACAAGCTAGCAAAGGTGTACAAAATTTGAGTCCAACTAACAAAGTTTTCCATGGTGTAAGCTTTCATGAGTTAAAGCTCTCCTCAGAGGGCTGAAGGTGGTGTGTTCTGAAAACACAGATGAAGGGGGGGATACAGACACCAGATTTTGGTTGTCTGTATTTTGTGAATCAAGATAATCCAGGATTTGGCACAACATAGATCCAGACCAGACCTCTTTGAAGCTACCAGGTCTGGAGGCCACAACCATACTGCAGTCATCAGGTTCTGAACGAGACTCTCATTTTTTCTCACACTTTGTGCTATTTACCCAAGGTGGAGGGGAGGGATCCAGTGGTGGTCCGAAGGCTGTACCAGGAGCTTTGACCCTGGATACTCTCGTGCATGTGGTGTACTCAAAGCCGCTGGGCACCACGGCACCTGCAGCTCACATGAGGCACAGCTGCCTCAGGAAGCCGCATCACACGTGATCTAGTATATCCAGGGAGTTGGTAAATTTTGTGTCCTGTCGTTCACAAATCAAGCTCCCCCCTATTGCCATATTCCCACATTATTTATAGGAGGCAGCAGATATTGCAGTCAAGAACCCACATGTTTTAGATAAGTTCTTGATGTTCCAAAACATGCACAATTTTGGGAACTATAGCTTCCCTGATGTTTACCTGACCTGAACAAACAACAAGCTCCTTTAGTCTACAAATGGAGTCCTCCTTTCCACCCAGGAAGGAGAGATGAAGAGAAGGTCCCTGTTTGCAAGTTAGGAGTCTCCAGGTTTTAGAAAGGAGCAATGATTGTCATCAGTGTGTGTCAGGACTAAGCAACCAAATCTCGATACTCCTCATTGTTTCTGGAGTAGATATGGGGAGGTTGTTCCACCCATCACTTGGACAAATTAGAGTTAGTGAGATCTGGAAGCAGAGGCCTTTATCAGCTGACCAACATGAAAAGTCTACCAAAGCTTTTTCCTCATGGTGATTTTTCTCCACATGGAAAGTAGGAAGCCCATGGTTTATGTGGGTTACTCTAAATGACACTGTACTCATTCTGAGCATGACTCATAAGTCTCCCAGGGCTTTCCCCTTTAGGGCAGATCAAAGGAAAAAAATATTTTATCAGGCTCAAAGGTGGGAATGGGCGAGGGGAAAGCAGTTGCAGGTAGAGAGTCTATGTGGCTATTCCACCACCAGCCACTATGGGGAAGGGTGGAGCCAAGCTCTGCCTTCAAAACAGTGGAGCTAACCTCTGCATTCCCACCACACACCTTCTGGATATTTAATGGGCTTTCCCCCCCTTTTCTCAGCTGCCATAGAGGGAACACACTTTCACACCCTGTGTGGAAGTTCCCAAGTAAGGAATCTGACCCATCACCTCTGTCTGTGTGGTTTTTCAGCACATCCTGTCACCTGATTGGTTCCAGTTGCCTTCTCTGAATGCATGGAAGTCCATTAATACCTTTTAAAACAGACTGTACCATAAATGCAACTGCCACAGCACTAGGGGTACTCCCTTTACCTGTCTCACCTAACCCTGATGGTCCTCCCTTGCATGCCCCTCACCTTTTTTTTTAGAATGCCTCATCAGTTTTTACCTGTGCACCTCAAAGGACATGCCTAATCCCCAGCTAGGCTTGGCAACAGATCCCACTGCAGTTACTATACAATTGCCTCTGAACTACTGTTAGCCTGGCTCTTGACATTAGCATGGATCTATCCTGTCTTTAGCACACAAAATGTCTTGCCGGATACACCAGCACATGTTCTTCTGTGCGCCATCATCATCGAGGTCACTTTAGGATTGGGCTGTAAGCACTGCATTTGCTGAAGGGAGTTTACCTTCTCTTTGGAAGGCATTCACTGAAATGAATGAAAATTAAAAGGATTTTTCCCTTTTGTTGGGGGAGGGCTTTGTATTTTACTGCTGTAGTTTTCTTTGCTACACTACTGGCTGGTTAAGAGACTTGAAGGTCTTTTAGCACCTCAGAATGCAAATTTTCTACAAACCGGAAAAGGAAATGTTTCTACTGCCATTTGCCTGTGCAACATTACCTAACATTTGTCACGCTCAAGTGTTGGACTACCGGGGTAACAAATTCTCCCCAAACTGTGAAGACCAAAGGCACGGTCCATTGGCATCTCTCCAATCTGGTGAAAAGCTCCTGGGAACATCTTACTAGAAGTCCACTGCAGCTATCAAAAAATAAGCATTTCCTCTGTGGGTTCTCCTTCTGGTTTTCCAGGTTAGATTTTGAGCAGCCTTGAAGATATCAGCTGTATTTTCTTCAGCATCTACACTGAAATGCTCCTGGCAAGATTAAAGGAAGCAGAGTTGGATTCTATATATATTGAATGCCAGGCAATTTGGACACTTTACAGCAAAGTCTTTTTGAAAAAAGTTGTACCAGTTTCAGAATAAATCTAGAGAGTGCATGGAGTGATCACATTGTTAGCGAAGAGGTTCCAGTGAGCAGGTCAAACCCACCAGCAGTTGAAACTCTTCCGTGTTCTGGTATTCATTTACATTGGCCCTTTATACTGGTTTCCAGACATGTGTTGTCTAATTCCAGGACACGAGCCTGCAGCATCTCCAAGTTTCCTCCACACAACCTGTAAAAAACCAGGAAATGTGTGTCAGTTATCTTTCTAGAAAGTCATAACTAGGCACACAAGGGTATGCTTTCCAGAGGGCTTACACTGTACCTATTAAGCACGAATTCTACAGGGAGATAGGGATGATTCAAATCCTAAAAAGAGCTGCACCCTTCCAAGTCCTACAAACCAAAGAACTAAGAACTCACATGTTAAAACTGCCATGGAGACAATTCCAAAAATTACAGCCCCCACCCTTTCTCCCACCCACATCCCACAACATTTGCAAACTTTTACAAAGTGAAACAACACCATTGTATCCTCAGTAGTATTGTCCTCACCCGCAGCTGCCAATGGACAGCACAGCATGATGTTGCCTCCTCACATACTAGGTGCTGTACATGAAAAAAGAAACTTCCTGAGGTTGCAGTTATTAGTAACATCCTTTTGATTTCACTGGGTTGTACTGTATTGTTGGAGAGCACGTACCACAGCAACTGAGTCAAATCAGTGCCTCAGTGGAAGACCTCCCAGGGACCCCACATACATCACCTTGAGTTCTTTGATGGTAAGAAGGCAGGATAGAAATGTAATATACAAGTGCACACTAACAAACCAGCTCCAAGAGGTTGGCTCAAATGGCAAAGCTATCACAGACAGCTATTTTAACATGGCAACTAATTGCAATGATGGCTTCTTCATCAGAATGAATGAGGCCTACTGTAACCTGATAGGTGGTTATGCTACCCATATATCTTGCATGTATCTAAATGTGAATGTTTCCTCTTCAATGCTTCTTCTTGGGCATTTTCTATGGTCACCCAAACAAATTAAAGAAGGGGGCACAGTTATAACAAGAAAGACACAAGAGATGAGGCCAATAAATTACAGCTACTATTTAGTAAGTTGTTCTTAAAAATGATTTGGTTGTCTTTATCAAGGGGATTTATTCAGCAGTTAGCTAGGCATGTTTCCTTCCAATACAAAAGCTGTGAAAGACCTGTATCTCCAAAAATGACTGTGACCATGTTTGGAAACATGCTTGGAGACTGGTTAGAAGGCTCAGCTCAACTACACAAGTTTTCTTGCAAGGAGATGCAATTTGTGTCTAGCTAACTGCTGAATCAATTCTCCTGATGATGACAATTGAAATTCATTGGGAGTGACTTATTCAATAACAACTGTATCTAGTAGACCATAAGCAATCCTGGCAAGGACATGTTCTGTTTGATTCTTTTTCCAGCATGTAGCAGAAAGTTATCTGCATAACAAGGGACAATCATAACCATCACAACGTTCTGACATGTTACAGAGCCATGATAAGATCATAGCTGACCACTTCCTGGATCAAAACATATTTGATTCAATTTTCAGGAAGTGATGCTGTCTATGAAGTTTCAGAGCATCCATGTACCAAGACACCTTGCCAGAAGAAAACCCACTGGGACAGTCTCACCTTATCAGTCACTACCTATGATGAAAGTGAGCAGCAACATGCAGTGCAGCCACATTAGCCAGTAAGCATAAAGGTGCCATCTTGAAAAATAATGAAATCCATTTCCAGCACCTCAGATGTTTGTTCACTACTGTGTTAAGCAGTGAAAGCCTGAGGGACAAGCAAACAGTATGGAACGAGCCACCACTTCAAAGAATCTCGCTGAACAGCTGCTTTATTTTCTTGAAACAGAATCCAACCACTGGTCCATCATGGTCAGTACTTTCTACTGTCTGGCAGTGGTTCTGCAGGGTCTCAAGCAATGAAACAACTCTCCCAACACCTGTTACCTAACATCCTTGACCTGGAAATGCCAGTGATTAAACCGGACACCTTTTGAATGCAAAGCATTCTGCCGCTGGGCCATGCTCCCTTCAGGAGAAAGGAATTCTTCTGTACCTGCTATGTGAGATCCTTTAACTGGAGGCGAAAGGATATGAACCTAGGACTTTTTGCATCTGAGGCACATGTTACACCACTGAGTCACAGCCCCTTTCTTTGGGTAGACTGGCTAAAGGAGACCTTGTTATGAGACTATGGAGAGATGCTGCCAGATAAGGTCCATTGACCTGACAGAAGAAGACATTGGATTTATACCTTGCCCTTCACTCAAAGTCTCAGAGCAGCTTACGATCTCCTTCCCTTCCTCTCCCCACAACAGACACCCTGTAAGGTAGGTGGGGCTGAGAGAGCTCTGAGAGAACTGCTCTTGACAGAACAGCTCTGAGAGAACTGTGACTGATCCAAGGTCACCCAGCTGGCTGTATGTGGAGGAGTAGGGAATGAAACCTGATTCCCCAGATTAGAGTCTGCTGCTCTTAACCACTGTACCAAACTGACACTATGCGGAAACCCCTTAAAATCATGCAGTGCACCAGTAAGCCATTTTGTCTAGACTAGTCCATTCTTCAATAGTGAAAGCAGGTTGCCTATACATATAGACATACAAAGAAAGCATATATTGACTTCCATTTCCCAAACTGAAACATCTATAGAAGCCCATACAGATGCCACTGCCTCTGGCTAACTTCAGCAATGTGCTGCCAAAGACCCGAGCCATACAAGAGTTTGCTTCCCTTTCGTTAACAGGAAAATGTCAGTGTTCATTCACAAGAGCACTCTTCTAATATTACATACCCATGCTAGTAGAGTCCTCATGAAAACAGTTATTTGTGTACTGGCTACAGTGATTTCTACACCGTCTCTTGTAATAATGGCCATTACATTTACTGCCACTGGTAACAGCATAGACAGTTAGGGGCCCTACAGGGAATCAAAAGGGGTATAGATGATTGACAAGTTCTTCCTGACCAAAATCTTCCACTCCAGGATAATGTAAGCTATTAGGGGCTTGAGAAGGCCAATTTCCACTCCCATCTGCTTCCAACATCTTTGACTGACTGTGGTGAGAGGAACCCCGTGCCTGGCCACTCTTCCAGCACACCAGCAGAAGGGCAGCTGTTAGAAGCCCTTATGGCAGCACATCACTGGAGAGAGACAGGAACCAGAAGGGAGCAACCCACAGCTACAGCACTGGGCACGGGATAGTTGGGGTGGGTCACAGATGGCCAGGGCACAAAGGCATCCCAGATGGCAGAGACACTATGAGCTGGGCAACTGCACAGGCCTGGGGAAGGCCTTAAAAGAGCTGCTAGGAGGGAGCTGGAATAGGTGGGACACTGTAGGGATGCAAGGAGTGGGGAAACTACTGCCCAGACCAGCCCAACACTAGCTTGTAACTGTGATACATGGAAGTAAAGGGGTGATGTTTCAGCAACCTCAACCACCTTCTTTCTTGTGTGCCTGCTGCACATGCCACTCTCCAGCCTGCTGTGCCCTGCAGCCTTTATGCCCCACCCCCACCAGTCCAGGCCCAACGACAGCGACTCTCGACTGCCATCAACACTCTGAGCCTTATACAGAACACTCAGTACTTATTGAGTCGTTCTGGCTTTCTACTGCTTTTTAATTTCAAATGTCCTATTCTTTTCTGCATACCTGAGGAGTCTCCTGATAAACTGAAACCCCAGCTGTATCTGTAGGTGGCCTCTCCTGCTACCCGGCTGATAGCTGCTCAGCTGGATATCCTAGTATTCTCCTTTCCATGCAACAGCAACATTTACTGAAGTCTGAGGCTATTTCTTCTTCCTCTTATCTGCTCTTTTGTAGAATGTGTCTTCACTGTACCCATTTGTCAAAATAGCAAACAGCCTCCTTACGTTGTGTTGCTAGGGGTACTGACGCTGAGATGAGAGGCTTCGGCAAAACTGCTCATTATTCAAGCACATCTCCCAACAACCAGTTTTCTGCTCAGTGAGCAATAGAAAATATTTACCGAGGAGATAATGCTGATGCAGCAAGAAAGTGAGAGTTGACACTTTCAATTGCCTTGCTTTCCATGAGAAGTGATGTCCTTTAGCTGATGGGAAGGGACGCACCACATAGAATCTGAATGTGCAGACTGAAAGGCATCCACCACTGCTATGAGTAAATTACATCCTTTCCCTTCATGCTTTCAGTAACCATTTGCACAGGAACAATTACAGACAGATCCAAAAATGCTTCAGAAGTTTTTGGAAAACAACACTTGGTACAGGGCTGGTCTTAGCCAATGGGCAACAGGGGGCACCTGCCCCACGCTCTGACCACCCACAGCTGTGCCGTCTGAAGAAGGTGGAGGGGACACAAGAAAAAGCACAGGCTCCTGCTGCCACTCTTTCCTGCTCCATTTTTTTTTAAAAAAAAGCCAGGGCTCCTGCTGCCCCTCTTTCCTGCTCCATCTGGGGCTTGGGCAGCAGGCTTGTGGCAGCAGCTGCAGCTCTCACCAGCCTCACAGGGGAAGAAAGGCCACCCTTTGACTGGTGCTGCTGGGAGGACAGTGGAGGGACGGCAGCAATCGAGTAGCCCCATCCTGAGCTTTTGCCTGAGACCCTATAATTACTAAGACTACTCCTGACTGGGTTTTCAAATTTAGCATGGTGTTTATCTATTACTATAGGACTTCCACTTAACTGTGGAGATACCAAGTTCTTCTGCCAGAGAAGGTATTATGATCAGATTTCTCCAGCTTCAGCATAACTGTACCCAGTTCCAACGTAGTTCAATGTTTTGAATGCTTTGTTGTTGTTGTTGGTTGTTGTTTAAAATAAAAACAGTTATTAAAAAAAAAAAGATTTCTCCAGCTACAATCCGATAGACAAATCATTATATTCATGGAGGATAGGGCTCAAAATCACTTTTGGCCATGATAGTTAGTAGAACCTCTACATCCAGAGGCATTATACCTCCAAATATATGATGCTGGAGACAAACAACAATGCAGAGCAGTTTCTTTCATGCCTAGCTTGTAAGCTTTCTGGAGGAGTCTGGCTAGCCCCTGCTGGAAACTGAACGTTATGCCTTTGGTCTGATCAAGCAAGGCTATTCCTGTGTTCAGACGCTAGTATTCCAAGGAGGTCTCCCATCCAAGTACTTCCCAGAGTCGACCCTGCTTAGCTTCTGAGGTCTGACAAGATCGGGCTTG